AAAGTAGAAAAAATAGCTGGGCATTGTGGCAGGTACTTGTATTCCCAGCTATTTGGGAGGCTGAGGCAAGAGCATCACTTGAGCCCAAGAGTTTGAGGTTGCTATGAGTTATGACACCACAGCACTCTACCCAGGACAACAAAGTGAGACGGTGTTTAAAAAAAAAAAGAAAGCTTGTCACTATTCACTCAATATGTAAACTTGAAGAACATTTATGGCTTGGTGGAGAAAGTAACCAAGTAATACATAACTACCTTCATGAAAGGGTAACTTAAAAGTTGGCTCACTTTGACTGGCCTGGGCAGAGCAAGCCAAATGCACCATCTCCTCCCATCCCACTGCAGCTGGGAGGCAGGGGTGCAGATGGGGAATCCCAGACCTCACTGAGACGGCCTTTCCCTAGGGCTGCCTTCCCTTTCATAGCTCTCACCTGTTGTGTCCATTCCACAGTCTTTGTCCCTGATAGAGGAGGTGGGATGGGACATGATGATTAGCGGGCCACTGAGAGTATTTGTCCTGATCCCTACAGGACTGTGTGCTGAGGTCAGGAGAGAGGGGAGAACCGTGTCCAGATACATGTTTCCCTCTGTCTTCTGCCAAGATAGCAATGGCAGTTGCTTTTCCTGAAACCATAAGTCAGACCATGACCACAGCAACATTTGGAAAGGGCTCTGGAGGAGGGGTGAGGCACCTAGCTTTCAGTTCCAGCCCTGCTGGTAACCGGGACATAGTTTACAGGCAAATGGCTATCCTTTGGGTCCCTGTAAGGCAAGGTAATATCACTTGCCCTGCCGGGGCCCCCAATTTGGGCAGCTCAAGTGAGAGAGTGTGTGTTGTGCCCTGTCAAGAAGTCAAAGTGGCTGTGAGCCTTAACAGAATTGGTGTAGCCCATTTGGGGCAGGAAAGCAGCCCCTGGAGAGCAGGGGCTCGCTGGGAGGGCTGCAGGCCTGCCCCAGGAGCTGTTTGCTGTGAAGAGCTGGGTGCTGGGGCCTGTGTTCCTCCCTGTCTTCTTGTCCACTGTTATCTCATTCTTGGGCTCTATTGCCCCTTCCTCCCTGGAGCTCTAGAGCAGTTGCTAGAAACGGTTATTTAAGTCCCACTCCACTTACCCTCTGTGGGCGGTTTCCCCATAAAAGCAGCTTTGCAGAAGCCCCCAGTCCATCTGTTCTCTGTTTTCTCTGTCCCCTTGCACGAGGAGGGGCTGGCTGGCCATTTCACAGGATGAGTCTGCTGCCTACCTCGTACCAGCATCACACATGGGCTCTTCCCATTTGGTCACTGTTCCTGACCCAGGGGAGATCTGCCTGCATCCCCCGTGTGCCAGTCTGCCTGTGCCCAGCTGTGCTCCTTGCCCGTGCTCCTGCTTGTCTTTGTCTGTGGCTGCTGGTTCTCATGCGGGTGCCTCTCGTCCTCTGAGGTATTTTTGCTTGGGTGTGTCTCTCTCCCCTTCCGCAGGAATCATGGCTGTGAGGTTGTGAAAGTGGATTATTTAGTCCACTGTTTCAAGAAGAAGGGGTATTTCAAGAAGTCAGGATGTTTCCTGACTATCACCAAAGACGGGATCCTGCAGTTCTGGTCTAAGACTTTCTTGCTGATTAAGTCCTTTCAGGTGAGTAGGGCCTGTCCACGTGGGGTACATGTTGGGGTATTGGAGAGCCTCTGCCTGAGTGTCCCAACAGGGAAGGTGGCCCAGACCCAGAATGGGTTTGTTCTTGGGATCCATGATCTGGGCATCCTGGCCTTGTGGTCACAGCACCTAGGTCCAAATTCTGGCCTTACTGGGAGAGCCTCACATTTCTTTTCTGTGAAGCAGGATTCCGCCTGGATACCCTTTTCATGCGGGTGTCCCACAAACACCCCAAACCCAGTGTACCCAAACCGCATCTCACCTTAGCTCTCTCAGCCCTCTGGGCTTCTCTGTGTCCCCATCTCAGTGAATGGCATTATCATCCGACAAGGCTCACATGCCGGAAGTCGGTCCCTCCCCTGCTGTCCTTATTTAAACCCTTTGCCTAGAGCAGGCAGGGAATCCTAGTGGTTGTGAGCAGGGGCTCTGAGCCCGACTGCCAGGGCGAAAATCCTGGCGTACCATTTACCAGCTCTGTGACCCTGAGTGAGGTACTGTGTAGCTCTCTGTGCCTCAGTTTCCTCGGCTGTCAAATGGGGCTAGCCCCCTCCCAGGGCTCTTGGGAGGATTTCATGGAGAATACTGTGTGTGGGGCAAGGCACCCAGCAGGTACCTGGTTCACATCCGCTGACGTCATCATTGTCTTTGTGCCATCAGCTCCTGGCCAAGAGTAGTAAGTGGCAAGACACTCAGGAATACCTGCTGCGTAATCGCGTCGCCAGTCCAGTCCAGAATCCTCCAGCAAACAAGGAAAGCGCTGCTCCCTGGGGCTCTACAGAAAGGCTTTTTAGGAGTGCTGCCCGCAGCACACAGGGATTACTAAATGTGTGTAACTGCACAGTGTCACATAGTTGCATCAGGGGCCATTACCCTTGGGATAGAAGGAGCCTGGAGGGAATTAGGCCCTGGGTGTACCCAGGGAAGTCATATCTACCTTCCTGAGGCTGTGGCTTCTGGCACCCTCCATCCTGCTTTGCTAGGTATTGATGGAGGGTACATTGCAGCCTGAGTTCTTGGTGCGGCTGCTCCTTGGTCGCCTCAGTGCCCTCAGGGGTCATATTCTGAGAGGGCTAGAGGACAGAGGAAGGGCCCCTGGGAAGGCCCAGTGGACCTGGGATTCTTCCTGGAGGGGCTGCTTTGGCAGGGAGGTTTTGGCAAGAATGGGTCTCCAAGGACTGTGGTGAACACCGACCACATGTCCAGTGTCATGCAGAGGGAAAGGCCTGGAATTTGAGGTGGGGCCTCGGCCTCACTCGCGAGTGCTGCAGTGACTTCTTGGGAAGTCACTGAACCTCCTCCCTAGGGCTCTCAGTTTCTCATCTGAACAGTGTGGGTGGTGGAACAGACTCCAGCCTGGGCATGAGAGAGCCTCCGGGGTCCATTGTCCTCACTACCCCAGCTAGGTGGGGAAGCCTGAGTGTACAGGGCTCTCTGCTCTTGGTGCTCTCCGAGTTCAGATGAAACAGGCTGCTCCCTGCCTCCTGGCTTCGCCTTTCCCTCTGAATATCCATCTAGACCTGAGGAATTGCTTTGAAGATCCCCTCCCCCACTTGAAGGTTACATTTCTTTCTGTTTCGTTTGGAAGCTGTAGGTATTTAGGGAGTAAATTATAGATTCCTCAGGTGACCACTCCTATCTCCTGTCCCATTTCTCCCCAACCCCAAGCCTGTCAGTCTGGCCTCTCCTCTCCTTCCCGGGACATAGCAGCTTATTTCTGCTGACTTGGCTTTGCTCATGGCTTCTCCCCGCTGGGGAATACTAACCCAAATTACATAACATGTAACATACGTGTTACATGAGGCTGGCACCAGAGTAGAGGGTGTGTGGTGCTGAGCTACGGAGTATATCCTCAATATGTTAGCATTCCTCACAGCCCTGCAGGACGAATCTTCATTGGCAAGCCACATTGATAGGTGACACTTGCCGACAGTAAACAAGGTTCAGATGTACCGGGGCATTCGGGTTAGGGCAGATGGGAGAAAGTCAGCCTCCCTTTCCCCAGTCCCTAATTCTTCTCCCTGCAAGCAACTTCTGTGACCAGTTCTGGGGTGCTTCTCCATGGCTAGCGGCCTCTTATACATGCCTCTTTTCTTTTTAAATATATGAGTGATAGCACATTGTAACGCAGCTTTCTCATTTAATAATATAGAGTGGCCATAAAGTTCATGTGCAATGTAAAGTCATTTGTCTACTTTAAAGTGCACACGAACTTTATGGCCACCCTGTATATCTTGGCAACTCTTCTTTACTAGCATGTGCACAGGTCCCATGTTCTTGATGTCTGGGCGATGTCTCATGGTGTGGGTTAATAAAAGCAGTGCTCTCCAGGTGGTCTGCGGCTTGTTGCTGTCACAGCAGTGCCTGGCCTTGAGTACATGCAGACATGCCCATCAATGTGTCTTAGAAAAAGATCCCTGGGTCAAAAGCTGTATACTTTCAAGGCTTGAATAGAACTGTGAAACTGCTCAAAAGGGTGGTGAAGGTGGGTATTTTTAAAGCCCATTTTACAGATGTGGAAACTGAGACTCAGAGAGGCTAGGGAGTATATCATTATCATTAGCAGTTAGTGGTAGGGGGCTCCAGCCAGTTCTGCCTGGCTCCAGGACCTCATGTGGCAGGAGAGGGCGTGCAGGGAGCCTGTGCTTCTGCCATTGTCTCCTGGATGAGCTTCCCCAGCCCATTTCTGCTCTTCCTCTGGCCAGCTTAGCCTGCAGCTCAAAAACCAGCAGATATTGGTCACCGACATGGTGTGTCTATACAACCTGAACCTCATTGCGGTTGCATCTGAACAGAAGATAGGTGAGTACCCTGGGCTTCCCCAGGCCTGCTCTCAGCCATTTGGAGCCGTGCATTTGCACTTGGGGGAGGTCTGGTTGGCCAAGCAGCTATGAATGTGGATTAGAGCCCTCTGAGAGCACAGCCTGGCGGTGAGGCCTTAATAACCAGAGTGTAGCTGGTGCGGCCTGCTGCTCTCCCCATCCTCAGATAGCTCTGAGGGCTTGCCATTAGAACCCCATTTCATCATTGCTGTCCTGATGGAGTGGCTATCACTTCTTGGAGGCATTCAGTCAAGGCCAGAGGAGTAGTGATGGAAGTGGTGCCTGTGCAACCCTTGGCCTGTGAGGGCCCCCCCTGGTCAGCCCTCCTCTTGTGCCCCACCCTTCTCAGTGTTTGACCATGCACAAAACAGAGGGCATGAGAGGCTGCCACTCAGACAAGGACCACAGTGTGGCAGTGAGACTGTTGCTCATTAGACAGAGGCTGGAACTGAGGCTGGACCAGTTGGAAGGAGCCAGACTTTTGAGAGGACTTTAGATCTGAGGCAGCTGGGTATAAGGGCATCATTGAAGGCTTTTGAACAGGGTACAAGTAATGTTTTCAGAAGATTAGCCTGGCAGCGGCTGGTGCAGGACAGAGTAGGGGAAGTGGACAAGCCTGAAGGACATCTTCTCTGGAAACCTTTTCTCACATTGCATCTGTGCATGATCTGGTGGTCCCTGCCTGGCCTGGGGATTCTAGCAGTGGGGGTAATGGACATCTGAGCTTGGGCTCTGATAAGGAGTGGGTGAGTGATCAGCCAGGGCCCTGGAGTGGGTTCTCTGCTTCTGTCTGCTCCCAGCACCTAAAGGGAAGATCAGAGAGCAGAGCCAGAGGGGACAGAAGCCTCTAACTACCTGTAGTGCCCAGGGTCAGCATTTGCTTGTCATACCTACAGTCACTCGGTGAATATCTGCAGAGCTCTCGGTGCTCTGCTAGGCACTGAGGATACTGTAGCTTCCTGCCTCGTGGAGCCCACGTTCCAGAAGGAGAGACAGACCTAGGTGCTCAAACACAACAAAGAAATGGTTAGAGATGGAGAGAAATGCCATGAAGGAAATCAACGAGGACCTGAGAAGGAAGACAAGAGTGGGGTTCTAGTTTGGGGCATTTTGAGGAGGTGACATTTGAGCTGGGTCCCAGGAGTGTTCCAGGCAGAGGGAGGGGCAAGTGGAGAGGCCCTTGCTATTGGTGGAGCTGGAAGGCTGGAGCCGGGGAGGTGGGTTGTGGGGTACCCTGGGGGAGATGGGATTGCAGAAGCCCGTAGGGCTGATCGCACAAGCCCTTACTTACCTGGCTTCCAAGCCAGGTGGGATTTTATTCTAGCTTGGCGGGAAGCCAAGCGTGGTGTTTCAGCAGGCATCTGGCACGGTGGGTTTACTCTGTGAACAATTGCCTCTGGCTGCTGCAGGGAAAGGGCTGAACGGTCCCGAGCAGCCCCGGGAGAGCTGTGAGGCTGCTCACTGTCACCAGAGCCCTCCCAGGCCTGGGGCATGGGTTTGGGTTCCATGTGCACTTTCTCTCTGTCTCTCCCCAGAGTTCTTTGATATTAGTAACGATAAATGTGTCCGTTCCTTCACCTTTATTGATTTGGACAGCTGTGTCCTGGTCATGGACTACTGGTGAGTGTCATGGGAGAGCTGTGCAGGGTCATGGTGGTGGCCAGATCACTTGGTAGTGTTGGGAACCCCAGAAACATCCCTGGAAACAGCCCTGGAAAGATCCCCCACTGCTGGAGTCTGAGGCCCCTGGGTCCTGTCTCTCCGGGCTTCTATCTTGAGGTCACTTCTCATAGTTGCTCAGACCTTGGAGTTGTCATTCCTCTGCTTTTCCTTCCCTGACCAAGTTAGCCATCAAACCCTGGTAAAAGCTTGTCCTGCTGTGCCGGAGGACTTGGGACATTGTAGGCTGTAGGGAGGGTGACTTGATAAAGGGCCGTTAGAGGACTAAGGACTAATTTAGTTTGGTTGAAAAAATATACCGAGTTCTGGTTCAACCGTGGTCTGGATCATGGCTGCTGGGCCCATGTTTATCAGCTCTGCTGATGCCCCGGCGAGGCCAACAGGTCTTGTTGAAACTGCCCTTGCTCCCAGGTGTGGGAGGTGTTGGAGGGGCAGAGACAGGTGGAGGCTACACAGCCTTGTCTGTCTCCATCCCTCTCCAGGTCTGACAGTCACAGAGGTGTGTTCTGCTATGGGGACACCAAAGGCAACGTCATGATCTTCACATCTGACAATGTGAACAATGGACTGTTGTTCAACCCCAAAATCCTCCCCAAGGCCTCCAGACGGGGTAGCTAAGATGCTTAGAGACGGGGAGGAGGCTGGCAATGGACTGGGAGTGGGTGCTGAGATGGCCCTGGCCCTGAGGCTCTTCCCCTTCCCTTCTCCCTGCTCTGGAGCCTCCAGGAAGGTGGCTGTGCAGAGCTCAATGCCCTGTGGGGGGCAACAGAGGTGGGGAGAGAGCAGAAGATCAGAGGGGGCTCGGCACCTGTAGCTCAGCGGCTAGGGCACCAGCCACATACACTGGGGCTGGTGGGTTTGAACCTCGCCCTGGCCTGCCAAACAATGATAACTACAACAACAACACCAAAAATAATAGGTGGTTTTTGTGGTGGACACCTGTAGTCCCAGCTACTTGGGAGGCTGAGACAAGAGAATCACTGAGCCCAAGAGTTTAAAGTTGCTGTGAGCTGTGAAGCCATGGCACTCTGCCAAGGGTGACATAGTGAGACACTGTCTCAAAAACAAAAGACCAGAAAGGCCAAGAAGGGACAGTCTCTCTGGAGGTGGGGGGCTGTGCGGGTAAGGGCCAGGGACTGCAGGACCGTTCTCATCCCAGGGAGAAGGAAGTATGCCAGCTGTGTGACCCTGGGGAAGTCCCTCCTCTCCTCTGAGCTTTGGGGCGAGGGCACTAACTTCCTTGGATGGTGGTGAGGAGGCTCCAGAGCTGTCTGTGGGTGATCAGGGTAGGGTGGAGAGTGTGCCCTGAAAGTAGGTTCTGTAGGGCTGGGAGGACAGCCTGGCTGGCATGGGTGTGAGTAGGCACTGCCGACGTTACTGAGCTCCTGTGTGCTGGGCCTTCGGGTGCATCACCCGCTGTGTTCCTTCCCCCACTGTCAGGAGAGAGGGGCTGCTGTTACAGCCTGTTGATAAGAGGGGCTTAGGAGCCAAGCCATCTGGTCATGAATGTCTGAGGTCAGACCAAATGCCCACAGTCTGTGCTCTTAGCCATTGCTGGGGTGTGTCCAAATGGACTAAATGTCAGAAGTCGACTGGGGATGCTCTCCTAAGTGGCACGAGGTTCCTGGAAGCTGCAGGGCCTGGGGCTGTCTAGGGGACTCAGATGAACTGGATCCTGTCCAGGATTGAGCCTTGGGGGCCCAATGTTGGGTCTCTAAGCTGCTCCACATCCTTCCAGGGGAGGCCCTGGCCACCAGGGGCCCCACTCACAGGTATATTGACCCCTCCTCCATTCAGGACAGTAGAGCTGTCCCTTGGGCTTCTAGCCAGAATTTCCAAGCAGAACACCCTCTAGTGCTGCCCAGGCTTTGTTGGTGAAATAGACCCTGTCCTGGATGCAGCAGTGGGTTAGCACTGTGCTGTCCTTGCCTCTCAGCCTCTGGTTCTGCCTTGCTCCAACCCACTCAGCTGCCTGGTTCTGGTCCTCTAGACCACTCTGGGGATTGCCATGGAGGTTATGGGGGTCTTTGAGCTGATGGGAAATTGAGGGAGGCAGATGAAGCTGGAGTGTTTGGCAGGGTACCTTCCATGCCACCTGCTACTTGAAGACTGGGAACAAGCCCAAAGACAAGGTGGGTCCAGTGTGTTGACTTGGGAGGAGACAGGCCCAGGTATGCACCCAGCTCTGTGACCTGAAGCCAGTTGCTTAACCTCTTCGTGCCTCAGTTCCCTTGTTCAGAGGGGGGCCGCTATCTATAAGTGATGGCTTTGCTATAAGCACAGTGTCAGGCACATGGCCAGTGCTCAGTGACTCTATCTTCTTCCCTGCCCCCCTTGGGACCTTACAGCCTAGTGGGAGAGATGGGCAGGTAATCATCAGGCTAGACAGACGGGCCTTGAGCGGCGTTCCACCACCCTTGGGACTTCCTTTGCAAGCTTCTTCCTGCCCTTGCAAGAGGAGGCTGGTGCCTTGCAGCAGTAAACTGCTTGGCATGAGCCCCAGATCCACCTGACTGGCTGCCCGCCTCAATGCCTGGGAGGGACCCTTAGCCTTGACTGTTCTGCATTCCTGACCTACCTCCTGAAACTGCCCTGAGGGTGGACCTGTGTTTGTCCTCTGGTTCCACCCATCTGTATCTAGCTTGCTTTCCCGGGAGATTCATCAGCTGCAGGCCTTGGGTGGTTTGGGTGGCCAGGAGACTCTCTAAGCCCAGTGAAGGTCACCCTGGCACATTGTAATTGCTCTAGACATGCTTGTTTTTTTTTTTGGCTTATTTTTTATTTTTATTAAATCATAAACACACAGATCATGTAGGCGTGCTCGTTAGGATGCACAAAGCAACGTGTACTTCTTAGAACTTGTCTTTGTGGGCAAGGGGCACATCTAGTTTGAGGCAAGATGGCAGACTCCCATGGGATTCCTTCTTAGGATGAGCAGAACTCGGAGTCTCAGTTCACTGCTCACTCCTGCAAAGTTGGAGCTCCTAAAGGAGCACCCGCTTGTTTAGATTGCAGCACCTGGGGAGCATGAGGGACCTTCAAGTCTGGTTCCAGTGCAGGGGACCCTCTGGGCAGTTGAGTTAATCTTCCTCGGGTGAAGGCACCCCCTGAACTCACTGGGACACAGCGAGGAGTGAGGATGGGAAAAGCATAGAGAAGCACAGGAGTTGGGAATCAACTCAACATGTCCTCTGAGGTTTGGTTTGTCTGGCAAAGGAAGAAAGCTGGTGGCATGGGCCTCAGTTTTTCTTTCCCCTATCAGATCACTGGATGAACATTTCCATGCAACAGCTCTTAAATGAGAAGTCCGCTTTATACAGAAGTTACCAAATGAAGGTAAGTTGTCTCTTTCCTTGGCTTATTCCCATGGTAACGATCTGTACACATTCATCACTCCAAAATAAATGCAAAACATGGATTTTCCCCTTGGGTTCAGTCTTAGCCCTTGGAACTTGGTCTCTGGGAACAGGTTGAGGCAGCTGCTGGGTGGTGTCGGCTCTGTCTACGGAAACCCCAGGCGTGGCCGCGTCTCTCTCACTTACCATCATTGCTCAGCCCTGATCCTGCTGACCGCAGCCTCTCTCCAGAACTGTGGTGGCTTCTATCTGGTTTCTCTGATTCCTTTCTCCCCACAGCACTGTCCCCATTGAGAGCCCAAGGAATTATAAATTAGAACTACAATTGTGTCACCCTGGTAACTTCTTGTCACATTTGGAACAAAGTCTCAAGGTGGTCTGGCTGCTAACTTGTACTCAATCTTGTTCTCTCCCTTCCTCCTCCTCATTCACTCTGCTGCAGAGACACAGCCTCCCCCGCTATCCCAAGCCCTCTCCCACGGCAGGGCCTTGGCCCGTGCTGCCCCATCAGGCTGCAGGGCTCACCCCCAGGCAGTTCTACCAACCAGCCTGGAACAGCCCTCGGCATTTATCACCTCCCAACTCCGTATTGTCCACCTAGCGATTTTTTGCTGGCATCCTCATGGGATTCACAGTCTCTTGAGGACAGGGACCTGGTGTGTTATGCTCTCCCGTCTGTCTGCAGTTCCTGAAATAGTACCTGGGGCTTAGTGGGCTCCTAATACATTTTTTGAACAAAGGAATGAATGAATGAATGAGACACTCAGAGAGGCTGGGAGTTGGCGGTCCAAGGCTCCTAAATGCTTCTTTCAGAGCAGGTCAGACCATTCGGGGCTGTGACCCTCTCAGGAAGAAGCATACACTGCTGGCCTTCTTTTCCAGCTTCTATGGGAATCTCATCTTGGATGAGGCTTTCCCTCTGAGGTGCTAAGTGTCCCAGGTCTCATTCAGTGCCTTGTATTTGGTGCCCTTCATTGTGACAAACACTTGATGAGATAGTGTATGTAACACCTACCTCAGGGCCTTGTGTGGGGAAGGCACTGAACACAGGTTTGACGAGCCGATCTCTCCAACCCACTTGCCCCCTTCTTGTCCTACAGAGGAAAATCTCTGGGTTGGGAGGCCACACATGGGTCCAGTCACAGAACCCAGCCCACCCACTGTACTTGTGTATTGGCCTTCTGTTGCCAAAGTCACAGCAGAGTGCACTCTCTCAAGCATTCCATGTCTTGTGAGTGCACAATAATATCCTGACATGCGTGGGCCGGGAGCACAGGCTCATCTGTAGGGGGGCTGCCTGTGGGTGACAGGATAGTGGCCTGGCCAGGCTTGAGTTTGTCTTTTCTCCCTCTGCTCGAGGAACTGATAGTAGATGGATCCCACCATGCCCATCCTCTAACTTCTAAAACAAGAAGAGTTCAAATGAAAGCAGGCTTGTGTACCTTTAAGCTCAGTGGCAGGTGATGGCTACCCCTCCTGGTGATGGGACCTGGGCTAGGACTACAGACCCATATTACTGTGTTTGTGATCCATAGGAGAAGAGCATTAGACTCTATGATCTCTGGGTCCTCCCAGTCCCAACACCTGGCCACATTCTGGGGGCAGGGCCTGGAATGCTGTCCTTGGGTTGGGTCCCCCACCACTGCCACTGTCTTCCCTAGGGTCTCCATTGCGACTGGTGTCAACAGGTCAAGTTCATCCCCCAGCTGAATCTGGTGGGCTCCTGTTCTGCCATTGATAGATCCTCTCTGGTGCTGATAATGTTGCCACTCAAGTTCCCCGAGAAACCCAAGTAAGGAGTAGCCTTCTCCGCTCTGGGGCCCTGTGGTTGGGGGAAGGTGGTTGTAAACATACGTGGGTGGATCTGGTTTCACTTGAGCTTCATATGGACACCCTTGGAGAGACATGACCCACCTCTGGGTTAATGGCATCTCCAGTGGGCAGTGTAGTGTCCTGTAGATGATACTGGCCCTAAGGAAATTGTGCTTGTCCTACAGGTTGACAGTGGGGTGTGATAGTTTGAGTATGGGAATCTGATTTTTAATCATGATCCAGGAATTGCCACCAGTGGCTTCCTTTTTCTTTTTTTTTTTTTTTAAATTTCAGGTTCTTGGCTCGGCGCCTGTGGCTCAACCGGCTAAGGCGCCAGCCACGTACACCTGAGGTGGCGGGTTTGAATCCCCAGCCTGGACCCGCCAAACAACAATGACGGCTGCAACCAAAAAATAGCCAGGCGTTGT